TGTCAATATTTGACACGCCACGAAAACCCGATCCCGATTTTAAAATGGGTCGGGTTCGAGTTCCCGGATTCGACCCGTTTGAAAAAATGAATCGGATTCGGGTTGCCGGGTCAACCCGCAAACCCGTTTAAATTGAATTTGCCCGCGCTACCCCGCCTGCCCGCTCACCACCCGTTGCTGCGTAAGCTGCCGCGCCTGCCAGCACCGGCGGCTCGCACACGCACCCGTGCTCGCCGCTTGCTGCTAGCCCGCGCGCGCACTCGCGATCACCGCACTCTCGTTCACCCACGTTTTGGGTCCCGTGACGGGTCGGGTCAACCCGACAACCCACCGGGTCAGGTCCGGGTTCGGATTTTCGACCCGTTTATCTACCCTGGTTGGGTTAGGATTGACCCGTTTGAGCCCGGGTCAGTTCGGGTTCGACCCGAACCCGACCGGTGACACGAAATTCACACCCCTAATTAAAAGATAAGTATAAAATTAAGTTAAGTGCTGCATAGAGGATGATGATTAGGTGGATGAGTGGCTTCACTCTTAGAGACGAAAATGTAAAATGAATATATAAGTGAAAAAGTTGGAATAACTCCAGTGGCAAATAAAATTAGAAAGGGTTATCTTAGATGGTCATTTCTGATGACACAAATAGAAGATTAAATGTATATTAGATTTGACTTATATTAAGAAAGATAGGTGTAATTAAACCTAAAAAATTTTGATTAGAAAATATTAGAAATGATATTTTTTTTATTAGATGTAAATAAAAATCTGACTTTAAAAAAATAGAACAGAGAAAAATAATTCATGTAACCTCCATAGTGGAATAAAGACTTGCTCTTGTTGTTGTATTAGATTTTCCTTAATATAAATATGCTAGAAAAATATATGAAAATTAATACGACTATATAAAAGCATGAGAAACATATATCTGTAACAAAATAGCTTCAGAAATATTTGCATATACACTGTACACATTCTTATTCTATTTGACCCCTTGAGATAGTGGGCAAATTATTGGGTTCGGACACTCGACGTGTTCGGAGCTCAATGAAAATGCGTCACATCACATCCCACTTGGTACTGAGCAGTACCAAACAGTACCAAGCTCGGTACTTAGTACTTCACAGTACTAAGCTCAGTACTGCTTGATACTGTGAAGTACTGAACGTAAGCTGTGTCTGGTGTCCAATCTCTTAAGATATTGCAGGTATTTCGTACCATGGATGGAATCTCCGTCGACGGATTGCCAGAAAACCTCGGAACCTCCGAGCACAGCATACACGACGCTTACGTGTCGGCCATTCGCCGGGCACAGAGGTTCGTGTACATCGAGAACCAGTACTTCATGGGCGGGTGCCATTTGTGGGACGAAGACGAGGCCAGTGGATGCACAAATCTAATCCCCGTGGAGATTGCGCTCAAGGTGGGCAGCAAGATTCGTGCCGGCGAGAGATTTGCGGCTTACGTGGTTATCCCAATGTGGCCGGAGGGTTCGGTGGACGGCGAGGCCGTGCAGGGCATGTTGCATTGGAGTCGGATGACGATGGTGATGATGTACCGAGTGGTGGGAGAAGCTATTAGAGAGAGTGGGGTGATGGCGCACCCAAGGGATTATCTCAATTTCTTCTGTCTTGCTAATAGGGAGGAGAGAAGGGAGGGGGAGTTTGTTCCTCGTTCTTCTCCCCCTCATGGAAGCCATTATTGGAAGGCTCAGAAGAATAGGAGATTTATGATCTACGTGCACTCCAAGCTCATGATAGGTGAGAGAAATTTACTGAATATTAATTAGCTAATTTGTGAGCTTTACATAATTGATAATTCATAGGGGATTTAGATATATTTCATTATGTATTTGTATATATTTAATATTTTAATTATAATATTTATTTATAAAACATTAAAAAATTTGTCATATTAAAAATATTATTAATATTAATTTTTTAAAACAAAAAATATATTTTTATGTATATATTTTGATGTAAGAAGACATTAAAGTATTCTATGATTAAATATTAAAATTTAAGTACTAAGTTAAGTGAATGCATTTTTTTTATAATATAATAATAATATATGTTATGTGAATACATAATAATTATATAATACGCAGATAAATAACTCATTATAAAAACTTAATTGTATTGTGATTTTTTTAACTAGTTCATTTTTGGGCTATTTGGTTGGATTATTACACAAGGGTGTAAAGTATTTTAAATATATAAATTTTAAAACTTTTGATGTCTAATTTGATGAAAAAGAATGCAAAAGTAAAAATATATGTAGTGTAAATCATTTTAATTTATTTTTTAGATAAACAAAACTCACCCAATTTTAAGCGAGAACGGTTTATGCCGCAAACAAGCTCGCTTGACCACCACCATCACTCTCCGGCCACCACCGCCGCCAACTGTCGTCCACCACCCTTCGCAACCACCCATCGGTTGCCACCATCTTTAAATTTTATATTATATTTATTTTATTTCAAACCAAATAAAAAAATATTTATTTAAATTTATTTTATAATCATTCAAATAACTCAAAAGTATTTCTTTTATACTGAATTCATTTTACAATGCATTCTTTTTTAGCCAACCAAATAGCCCGAGGTATTTGGAATTCCTCACATTTGGTTGGGTTTCAAATACACTGAAAATTCATTCCAATTGTCGATGCCCAACCACCCGCTACCACCAGCCACCACCGCCAGCTACTCGTCGTAGGCTGCTACCAGCCACCACTGTCGGTAGCCCGCCTTCGGCCACTAACACATGCCACCACCGTCGCGTTAGTAGATCGCTGCTAGCTAGCCACAACCACCGACCACATAGTTTCTAATGTTGGTCGCCGACCATTACCCTTTTTGCACTTTATAATGTATTTATTTTAGTTCAAACCAAACAAAAAATATAATCCCATGCATTCCTTTTATTTTTGGGGGTATTTGATCGGATAAAAAAGAAATGCAATGTAAAAGAAATATTTTGGAGTTGTTTTGATAAATGTAAAGTAAATGTAGGGTTTTTTTAAAGTAAAATAAATATACTATAAAGTCCAAATTAAGATGATGGCTGTCGGGATGGGCGATAGTGGCAGTGGCGATTAGCGGTGGTGGTAATGGCCAGTGGCTAATGGCTGTGGCTGAAAGTGGTGGTGGTGGCCGACAATGGTAGGGCCAGCGATGGAAGGTGATGGTGATCAACAACATTTATGGCGACGATCAAGTGAGCTTTTCTAAACCCTAAACGATTCTCACTCAAAATTGAGCGAGTTTAATTTACCTATAAATAAATTACAATCATTTACATTTCATTTACTTTACTTTGCATTCTCTTTTCATAGGACTAAACACCAATATTTTTCAAATCCTTGCATTCAAATACCTTCAAAATATTCCATTTACTCTACATTCTTTTTTCAAGCAACCAAACAACCCTAATTTATATATGGATGCCATCAGATGCATATAAAGCAACAAGCTTTGCAAGCACAATACAATATACCAAGTACAACTTTCTAGATCCATACTGATCTTAATTATCCCTATTCATCCATCAATTGCAGTTGATGATGAATACATCCTAATCGGCTCAGCCAACTTGAACCAGAGATCGCTGGACGGCGATCGAGACACGGAGATCGCAATCGGGTGTTATCAACCTAGCAGCACTAACAGTAGCCGACGAGGGGATATTTTCGCCTATCGAATGTCTCTCTGGTTCGAGCACGCCGGCAAAATTGAAGAAGCTTTTGCAGAGCCGCAAAGCTTACAATGTGTGAGTACTCTGCGCGGGCTTGGCGATGAGATGTGGAAGAAATATAGCGGCGAGGAGATGGTCGACATGGAAAGCGTACATTTGGTGAGCTATCCCGTGGATGTGTTGGAAGATGGTTCAGTTAGGGATTTGGAGGGTGGCGGAGGCGCCTTTCCAGATACCTCCGCGTTAGTAAGTGGCCGGAGATCCAAGATGATCCCACCCATTTGCACCACTTAATTTACAAATGTTTTTAAAAAAATGTTTTTTTTTCCTTTATATATATTAGAAAGTAAGCTCATATTTGTTGTAAATCTGGGAAATATCACTTTCTATTATTATTATTATTATTATTATTATTATTAATGAGTTGAGGATTTGAATAAAATTTGTGTGTGCTTATTTTATGTGTGTTTAGGGATTGTTTGGTTGGAACTTGAAAGTAAATTAGGTGTAAATCATTCTAAATGTTGATGTCATATAAATATTAGTATTTGGTTGAATGAAAAGGAATGTAAAGTATAAGCAGTGCAAATCATTTTAGTTAATTTTTGAGGTAAAATAAGCTTGCTTAGTTTTGAGTAGAAATTGTTTTAACTGTAAGCAGTCTCTCTTTTTGTTGCCTACGGCCGGCCACAACAGTCACCCACTGCTGGTCACCACGCTTGCCACCTTAGCAGCCGACCACTATATACTAACACAATCACCGACCGCCACAACCCACTGCCGCCACCCACCGCAGCCTGTCGCCAGCCACCATTCGCCACTGGCTACCGAAAGCTTGTAGATGTTAGAGTTTTTATGTGAAAAGCCTAAAAAAAAATTAAGATGAGTGACATAGCTGAAATAATTCACTATATACTTAAAGTTATAGAAGTTCATCCCTCCCATATTTGGAGAAGATATGATTAAAGAGTTATAAGCATGTGTTTGGTCTCCTTTATTTGTAGTAGGGATTTTGAAAGAAATAATGGAGGGACAATAATGGTTGGAGTATGTCACTTAGATAATGACAATCGAGTGATAGTTATTGAATGATCATTTGCACCACTTAAATTTTTTAATTCACCTCATTTTTGTGCCCTAAATTGATTCTCTCTTCTGCCTCCATCATCAAAGTGATTTCCTCTCCCTCCCTCCTCGACTGTGACATATGTGACCTAAGTATTCTTCTCATGATCTCCTGTTCTTCCTTCCCCTCTCCCATTCCCTCAAACATTCTCTCATTATTCCATTCTTCTTCTCTATTCCCATATGCCGCCCCAACTACCCTCCCATGGCCTCCATTCCCTTACCCACTTAGGTCAGTCAGTTAGCTGGTGGGTAGTATGGGATGGAGATTAGTAGAGTGTCGGTGATATCAGGAAAGTTTTCTCTTTTCTTAGCCATAGCTGTCTCAACACATAAGCTCATGTTGTTTACTCATATCTGATATATTTGTTGATAAAAATATTAGTTTGCTTGATTTTATATTTGAATAATTATGTAATGAATTTTTTAATAGTGCACGCTTCAAAGATTGATAGTTTTCTAAGTTAAAGATTGAATGCATCAAATGTGATAGTGACCCATATTGGAGACCTAGAACTAGAGATATCTACCCAATATGCCATTTAGTTAATAACTTCTAGATCAAAATTATTTTCACCTAAATAAATAAGGCAATCATCTAAAAATTTTAGCTTCCTTATCTAATCAAACTTCGCCATGATAAACTATTTGCATTGTGGTGTACTCCAGGACCTGCAAAAGAGAAACAGATAAGCAAGACAGGAAAAACAGGGAAGAATTAATGTAAAAGGCGTCAATGGCCTGTATATTCACTTGAAAATATGGATTTCAAGAGTTGCAGATTGATCAAAAAACTGTCTACCTCCCGGAGTCTGCTTCTCTAAATAAGTTCTAAAAATCATGTAGCTAATTCTACTACTTTTTAACTCCTGTAGCTGTAACTACTTGTTTCTAAAACAAGTGTAGCAAGGAAAAAGGGATAATAGTACTCATATATAACTAACATAGTACTATAAGTAGTTGAAGCAGAAATAAGGGTATGATGGCCCTCAGGTGTGTTGTAGCACGGTTGGCACTGCATCAGTCCTCCACGGCAGCGGAAGAGCTCGACTCCGACGAGCTGATTATATGGACTGTATCATCAGGAGGATGGTATGGCCAAATATCGGACACATTGAAAGTTGGCGAGGTATTGTAACCACTAGGTAATTCCACCGTGTATGCATTGTCATTTATTTTGGCAATGATTGGAACAGGGCCAAGCTTACGGCGACTGAGTTTAGTGTAAGTACCGGGAGCAAAACGTTCGCGCCGCAGTCGTACCATGACGAGATCACCGACCTTAAAAAGCACCTGTCGTTTGTGAAGATCGGCGGCAGCTTTGTATTTCTGATTGGCGTTATTAAGTTGGGTGTGGACATCTGTAAGCATTTGTGAGTACTGTCCAGTGAACTGTGAAGCCGGCAGGGACTTGCACTTAGAAAGAATTGCTACATCCAGAGCCAAATTAGGTAATTTAGTGAAAACAATACTGAAAGAAGATTTACCCGTGGAGCGGTTAACCATGGAGTTGTAAGCAAACTCAGCTGTGGTTAATACTTCCTCCCTTTTCTTTGGATAGTCTTGGACTAAACAGTGAAGCATGTTTCCCAAGGTACGATTAACGACTTTTGCTTGTCCATCAGACTGTGGATTATATGCAGAGCTCAGGCGTAAATCTGTGCCGAGACGTTTCCACAACTCTCGTCAAAAATGGCTGATGAATTTGACGTCTCTATCGGAGGTGAGGCTTCTCGGGACGCCATGTAAACGAACGATTTGGTGGAAGAAGAGTTGAGCTATGTGTAGGGCATTCGACGTCTTTTTACAGGCGACGAAATGGGCCATTTTGGAAAAACGGTCGACAACCACCATGATGGAGTCATGCCCTTTTTGAGTTCGAGGAAGGCCAAGGACGAAATCCAAGCTAAGGTTCTCCCAAATGGTGTCCGGAACCGGAAGAGGCAAATACAGTCCTGTATTTTGGGCGACACCTTTATATGTTTGACATACAGAGCAACGGTCGACAAACCGAAAGACATCTCTTTGGAGGCGTGGCCAGAAGAAACGAAGCTTGAGTTGAGCCAATGACTTATCACGGCCTGTGTGAGCTGCCAGGGCGCCACAATGTGCTTCCCGAATAAGGTGTTGATGCCATGATGAGATAGGCACGCACAATAGGTTGTTGTGGAAAAGAAATCCATGTCTTATAGAGTACTCAGGAACAGTTTCCTGGTTTTGACACTTACGCCAAATTTCAGAAAAATCGGCATCTGTTGCATAAAGTTTTAACGATGACAAACCAGTGAGCTCGGTTTGTAGTTGAGTTAAGAGCATGGATTTACGGCTGAGTGCGTCAGCTACCGTATTGTTCTTGCCCGGTTGGTGCTTAAGCACAAAGGAGAATTTCTTGTAGATTGAGAAATAATTTATGCTCTTGTAGTATTAGAAAAATTTTCTGTAAGTGATCAATATGTTGATCGGTATTGCTGCTATATACCAGAATATCATCAAGGTAAGCGAAGCAAAATTGTCCCCAGAATGGTTTGAGAATGAGTTGAATCATCCGCATAAAAGTTGAGGGGGCGTTGCAAAGGCCGAATGGCATGATGCGCCATTCGAAGAGGCCGAAAGGTGTCTTAAAAGCTGTTTTCCATTCGTTGCCGGGACGAATCCTGATTTGATGATATCCACTGCGCAGATCTAATTTAGAGAACACTGCTGCCCCATTGAGATGATCCAGAAGCTATTCAACTCTCGGTACAGGAAACCGGTATTTAACTGTTATCTTATTAATAGCTCTGCTGTCAACACAAAGACGCCATTCGTTGTTTTTCTTGGGTACAAGCAATGCTGGGACAGCACATGGACTAATACTAGTTTGGATCAACTTCTTTTGTAACAGGTCGTCAATAATGGACTTCATAATCTCTTGTTCCTTGGAATTGAGACGATAATGCGGTAAATTCGGTAAAACTGCATTAGGCAATAGATCAATTTGATGTTGTATTGATCGTAGCGGAGGCAGTGAACTAGGAAGTTCACTTGGACAGACATCACTGAATTGTTCCAGTAATTGACGAACCTCTTCTGGAACCGGTGACTATGTTAGAGGAGTGGGGTTTGTGAGTACCACGGCCCACAAGGGTTCCTTTTCATTCACGGCTAATAGCAAAGTTGGTCCCGAAACAACTTGTAATGCTGGTGCATTGCTTTTGTTAGAAACTTTGGTCTTATCATCATGTGTCTTTGGCAACAGTCGAAGACGTTTGACCTTCCAATCCAGTGAGTACACATTGGCTCTTCCGTCAAACAGGACGCCGACGTCAAATTGCCACGGGCGACCGAGGATTAAATGGCACACGTCCATGTGTAGTACATCACACAATACATCACAGACATATTGACGGCCTATTGAAAAAGTCACTTGACACATATCTGTGACTTGAATATCGACGCCTTTTCGTACCCAGCTAATCCTATACGGGTGAGGATTCTTTGTCGTTTTCAAATTAAGTGCTTGTACCACTGAGCGAGCTATGATGTTTTCTGTGCAACCACTGTCGATGAGAAGATCACAAACTTTTTCCACTGATGGTGCACCTCGTTTTGAAAATGGCATTGCGTTGTGAATCAACTTGTTGGCGGGGTGCAATTAAGAGTTTCTCAATGACGCAAATCAATGGATCACCCTCATCTCCTTCAATGTCTTCGGCAGAGTTTTCATTGGCTTCTTCAAGTTGTTCCAGAGAAGCTTCATGGTCATTTTCTAGCAGCTAAAGTTGTTGACATTGAGGACACTCATTGGACTTATGGCCCGGTTGAAAACATCGGAAACACTTTAGTGTCGCCGGTTTAGCATAGGGATTAGTTGAGACAGGTGGCTTAGCCTTGAATTGGAATTTACTGTCAGATGAGGCTGCTTCCATTTTTGAAGACACACTGCTGGGTCCCGATGAAGAAGAGGAAGGTGTAGGTTTGTTGAATCCCTTGCCAGAATCTGCGAGTGAATCTACTATAGGTCAGCGGTTAAATTGGGGACGAGAAGCCTTGCTTAGTTGTATTTCAACCTTCAGGGCGAAATTGATCGCCTGAGATAAGGACCGTACGGAATTTAATTCCAACTTGTCCTGTATAGTATATTTCAATCCGCCGATGTATCGAGCTACCAATTGGTTCATGGACTCATT